AAATTACATTCAAAATCAAAGAATCTAGCCAGGTGCAGTAGCACATACCTGTAATCCCAGCAGCTCAGTAAACTGAGGCAGGAGGATCTTGAGTTCAAAGCCAGCCTCAGTAAAAGCAAGGCGTTAAGCAACTCAGTGAGACCTTGTCTCTAAATAAAATACAAAACAGGACTGGGGATGTGGCTCAGTGGTCAAGTGCCCCTGAGTTCAATACCTGTTCCCAAAAATAATAATAATAATAATAATAAGTCTTAACCTTGTTTACTTTCTGAAAATCGTCTAGACAAAAATCTCTTAATGACCTTCTAAACTTCCATCATTATAGTAGTAAATCTTTCATAAGATGGTTTTTGATAGAAAATGCACCCTATTTTATTGAATTTTCTTTAGTCCTTGGATGATTTCTCTTTACACACATTTAAAATTCTTTTACTCTGTGTGCTAAAATGGAAATCTGTGTGTCTAAAGCAGTTCCACGGGAAAATACATACTAGATGACTTTGTCATTAAAAAGGCATAAAACCCCCAGGATCATCATAAAGTGACATCTCAATGTTTTCTATCAGGAAAAATTGAAAAGGCATCAATATATTTGTTATTCTAGGATTTCCAATCAGGTACTAGGAAATTAGATAGTAGGAGATCTGTAGCCTGCTTCCATATCTGTCTTTCAACTCACTGAAGTCATATCTGAAACATCCCACTAAATGGTACAAAGCTGAACAGCTAAGCTCCAGGCAAGAGCCTGCAGGTGTGAGACTGACTGACACCTTGGCCCATCTGTCAGCCAACTTTCCGGCAGGGTGTTTTCTGAATGCTGGTAAACATGGAGAAATTACATTGAGACAATGTGGGTCATTTCCTTACAGCGTATCATTCTCAAAGCTAACATGAATAAAAATGTACAGGAAACTGAAAAGTAAACTTCAAATAGACATCACAGGTCCCAAAGGAAGTTACTTCTCTGCTCTGAACAGGAGAGTCTTGGCAGGAAGTATGTTCCAGGGATAATTTAATAATTACAATAGAAAGATTTTGTTGAAAATGACGAACTGGCACCATGAAACAAAAGATAGATGGTAAGAATGAATTTCTGATCTCCAGCTCTCCTGCATCATGGGACTAATTAAACAATATCTCAACCTGGGTCTGCCTGAACCCTCTCTCTTCTTAGGTTCCCATAATCTTATTCATTCATTGTCTTCTGTACCCCATTTTTATTCCATACTGATCCATGACAAACTCAAAGTGGATTTTCCCTAAATCAGAGTTTTCAAAGTAATTTCTGAAGATGCTTTCCCTCTGCCCACTGCCTACAAGCAGACTCAACTATATTTCCATAGCTGGAATTATCTGTTATTAATTTGCTTCTGCACAAAACTTGCTAGATAAAACTTTAGAAAAGGGTCTAATTTCTTTCTTTTCTTTATTTTATAATGGTAATGTGGATTATGTAAAACATCCTAGCATTTTGGCAGGAAGACAAAATTTGTAAAGTGGGGGGAAATGTACCCACTCTCTAGAAATCATCAACTGTATGTTTCCCTATTAGAAGATCCTCGTTGTTTCTTGTCCACTCTGAGGAAATTAACCTCTAGACAACTAATATGTGACAGCATTTATAGAATGTGCATAATGCTGGGGATCTTTAGATACAATTATGTCTCTACATATCACTTATAAAAATTAATACATTGTAATAAAATAAAATATAATTTGAAACAGGTTAAAAGCTATGTGGAGGAAAGATACAGTAAGAAATCAAATGCACCCTTTAATCCCAATGGCTCCATAGGCTGAGGCAAGAGGATCTCGAGTTCAAAGCCAGCCTTAACAATGGCGAGGCATTAAGCAACTCAGTGAGAACCTGTCTTTAAATAAAATTCAAAAAGGGCTGGGATCATGGCTCAGTGTTTGAGTGCCCCTGAATTCAATCAATCAATCAATCAATAATAAGTCAAATGCACCAAGAAGTGAAGCCAGTACAAAATACATCCATGAAATCTTATAGTTGCAAGTAATGACTGCAAGTTAGGTCTTAAGCTTTTTATTAGCCAGTATAAAGAGGCAACGTTTTCAATATCTTGGTCATTCCAAGTTGGTAATCTTGGTCATGATATATAAAGGAACGTATAGCATTTTATTTCATTGAACATCGAACTATATTTAAGTTCCATATTCAGATATGTATACCCAATATTAGGTATGCTCTATCCCTGACAGAAAAGGAAGAACTAAATCATTGCATGAAAGAATGAGTACGCATTCTAGGTTAAAATTTGACTGACAGAAAAACCTCTGAATTTGTCCTTGAGGTTCTTTAGCTGAATTAACTGCTTATAGTTTCACTGAAGGAAGATCTTTATCACCTATCTGTGATCATAACCAACTCAGCCTTCTCCCATTCAGATCTTCCCAGGAAACTTTTTTATTGGTTTACTAGGTAGGAATCTGTATTATGCAATGAATCCAGGATTATATCATTTGTATTTATCACCAA